CCAAGATCCCTTTCCTTCATAACATTATTAGAGGTTATTCCCATCCAAATTATACTTATAATTCAAAATATTATAACCCAAATGCGTTATCTTGCATTTATTAGAATTAAAACCCATCTGCCATTTATTTGCCCAGCTCACAAAATGATCTAAATCCTTTTGTAAATCAGCAACATCCTCTTCACAGCTAACAACACCCAAGACCTTAATATCATCTGCAAACGTAAGTAATTGATTGACTATCCCTTCATCTATCTCATTAATGTAAATCAAAAAAAAAGCAAAGGTCTTAAGAATGAGTCCCGAGGTACCCCACTTGTGACATTAATCCAGTTTGATTGAACTCCATTTGTAACAACCCTCTGCTTTCTTATATCCAGCCACTTTTCTATCCAATTTGCTAACTTATCTCCCACGCCTATAGAGCTAATTTGTTTTTTACAAGCCTTTTATGTGGCACCTTGTCAAATGCATTCTGAAAATCCAGATACACCAAATCTACACCCTTACCCTCATCTACATAAGCAGTAACCTTTTCAAAGAATGTTGAAAGATTTGTAAGGCAAGATTTTCCTTTAGTAAAACCATGTTGACTATCCAATAAAATTCTAAACTTTGTTGAATGACTTTGAAAAGGGGCCAGGTGGTTAGGGAGCTCGACTTGCAATCTGCAGGTCGCTGGTTTGAATCCCCGTCCCACCAAACATGCTCGCCCTTTCAGCCGTGGGGGCATTATAATGTGATGGTCAATTCCACTATTCGTTGGTAAAAGAGTTGGCGGTGATTGGTGATTACTAGCTGCCTTTCCTCTAGTCTTGCACTGTTAAATTAGGGACGGCTAGCGCAGATAGCCCCCGTGTAGCTTTGCACGAAAATCAAAACAAACATATTTTGAAAAGCATCTTTCAACAGACTTTCCAAAATGTTTCTCACAACTGATGTATCACTAATGGGTCTATAATTACTGGGACAATTTTTATCACCTCCCTTGAAAAGAGGAGTTACATTAGCTAACTTTCAATCCTCTGGTACCCACCAACTATTCAACGACTGACAAAAAAATAGTACCAAGTAGTTCACATATCCAATCTTTAACCTCATTCAAAACCCTTGGGGAAATATTATCTGGCCCAGGAGCCTTATTGTTTTTTAAACTTCCCAATTTTTTCTTAACCAGCTCAGAATTGGTAATAGAGTTGGCACTGGGTGGGGATGACTAGCTGCCTTCCTTCTAGTATTTCACTGCTAAATTAGGAATGGCTAGCACAGATAACCCTCGTCTAGCTTTGTGCGAACTATGGACAGAAGAGGATCATTGTGAAAAGCTGAAAACTACAAGAAACCTGTTATTGAAATTAAAATAGCTGCGTTAAAAGTATGTCATGGTTCTAATGTAGGCTATGTTTCATTATTAACTATGGCTTCATGATAAATGATTTTTTTTAAACATGCAAATGTTACATGATATGCGAATATTTAGCATTTTCTTTAGAAGTTAAGTCTATGGGCTTTTAATATGATTTTAAATAAATATATTCCTCACAATGTCTTATATATTTCCAAGATGAAGTTGATAATTGGTCAAACTTCCCTAAAAAGAAATGACACTTTAAGTTATGCTGTTCATAAAGCATGTAGTGTTTGGTAGTTTCTTAAGCCAAAATTACAATAACAGAAACTGTCAAAAAATAAAGGAAGACCATTATGAGGCCTTGTGCACAATGTAGACAACATTTTTACCAAGTCTGGAAGGAAGAAATGATTTTGTGGTCTTTTCCTCGCGCCCCCCAGTGGCACAGCGGTATGTCTGCGGATTTACAACGCTAGAAACCGGTTTTCGATACCCGTGGTTGGCAGAGCACAGATAGCCCATTTTGTAGCTTTGTGCTTAACTTCAAACAAACAAACAAACTTTTCCTCGCTACAAGTACTCCACCTTGCTTTTCTTCTTGTTACTACTTGCTCTTCCAGTTGAGTCTTGTGCCCAACCTTGGCAATAAGTTTAATTAAATCCTTAATAAACTAGAGAGAGTTAAGTAATCATGTTGCTCATTAAACCATTACATTCAAATAACTGAGTATTCTTCCTTGAGACTTGAAGAGTTGAAATAATCAAATACAATAGATTACACAGAGCTGCGATGGTTTTATTGTCTTGAAATTTTTACATGTTCTACGGTAATTCCTGTACTCTGAATCCGAAAATGATATCCCTTTTTCTCCATCACGTACTAATTTTTACAAACGTCATAACGCCAATACATAAAAGAAAGACCACAACGCCTAGTTTTCACACTAAAAAACGTAGACTTCACACAC